CTGGCATGCAGGTGTACATGAAGACAGAGCACTTATGTAAAAAAAAAAAAACAGATAAATTTGAGAGAGAGAGAGAGAGAGAGAGAGAGAGAGAGAGAGAGAGAGAGAGAGAAGGGGGGAGAGCGAGTAGGCTGAGTAAGTTATGAATGAGGAGCAAACCAGTAAGCAGCACTCTTCCATGGCCTCTACATCAGCTCCTGCCTCGAGGATCCTGCCTTGTTTGAGTTCCTGTCCTGACTTCCTTTGATAATGAACAGTGCTGTGGAAGTGTAAGCCAAATAAACCCTTTCTTCCCCAACTTATTTGGTCATGGTGTTTCATCATAGCAAAAGAAACCCTAACTAAGACAATATCCATTAGCTTTAACATCAGTCATTGCAGGAGAAGTAGGATTTCTCTGAACTGACCCTGAGAAGGATAACCGGTTCTCATCACTGCCTAGAGTTATAAAGCTGACCTCCTATGGCCCAAGGCCCTACACAATGGCCTTGGGGTTGATCCCAAGTCCTCTGCCTCCTGCTTGTAGTTCTAGCCATTTTAACTCACCCAGGGCACACTTCCCTCCAGAAACACCCTGGACTGCTCCAGCCTACACCCTGCCCTTTTTCTGCCCTTTGGTCTTGAACAGGACACAATACCTGTGCCTGCCCAGCCACAGATGATGGGCATGCTGTGAAGCTTTAACTTTCTCTTTCGGCTCAGGTTCAAGTTTGTTGAGTCTGGGGCCATGACTCTTATTTCTTTACTGTATCCCAGAGCACTCAGCATTAAGGGTCATCCACAGGACATAGCTTGTCTTACATCTGAAGAATCAAAGTCATGAGATCGAGGGCTTGTGCTGTTTCCTACAATGTTTGCACAGGACTGGGTGGATTTACAAGTTCAGAGGATTAAAATGCCAGAGTCGCTCTACCTGCTTGTCTGAGCTGGTCAGAGACACACCTAGACTCTCTCTGACTTGAGATTTGCAGGCGTGTTTGGCAGATCCCTCTGACCAGCAGCTCTCTGTGTCTACCCCTCCCTCAGAGGGAGGAGACACCAGAGGCTTGGCTAAAGCTAGATTCCTGTGTCCTGCGGGTCATGTGATTGGCAGATTTCACTAGAATCTGGAGTAGGTGCTGCTAAAGTCCACTCGCTTTGCTCTGCCCTTGCCAATCTTGGTCCCTGATTGGCTCCCCAAGCACGGTGACACGTGGGAAGGAACGAGAAGAGAAGAGAGGGAGCAGCAGCATTCCGGGCAAGTGGACAGCTGCCAGGGCGAAGCGGTGCCAGGGCGAAGCGGTGCGAGGGCGGCATGTAAACAACTCCCCAGCTCTTCCCCTGGCTCCTCCTCCAACGGCTATGACAACAGACAACGCCGGAAAGGCGGGCGGAGCACACAGAGCCTCTGCTTGTGGGACATTGATGTTTCGTCTCCAGTCAGACTGTAAGTTCCTCACAGGCAGGTGGAATGATCTATACATGTCTGTATTGCATGCTGGGACGACAGACTTTCTGCTTCACACCTGTTTACCACAGACAATCTTTATGTGGAACAAGATTTGGAGGAGACTAGAAATTTCCAAAGAATCAATAAAGAATTATGTTTTTTTTTTTAAAGATTTGGAGGAGACTAAATGCATTTTGGCTAATATAATGAAATGTTCCATTATAGATGAAACATTCATACATAAATACACACCTATAATTTGTGTTTTACTTCTTATTTTTGAATACCAGTACCAAGGATGGCTCGCACCTGGAGAAACGCAAGAGTGGGTATTCATTTTAGCAAGAACACCTCTGACTGAGTCTACAGCTCCTCCTTGCGACAACGCCAAAAGCCCCAGCCTTTCACTCAGATCTTGGGCAGAGGAGGGCTGGGAATTGAACACAGAGCTTTGCATACGCCAGATAAATGTTCCACCACCAAGCTGCAAACCCAGAACTCTTTAAAATTCTTTTTATTTATTTAGTGTGCACACACACATACACATACCATAACACGTGTGTGCAGGTCAGCGGATAACTTGCAGTTCACTCCTTACCCCGTGTGTCCCTGGGATCATATGCAGGCGTGGCAGTGGGCATCTTTACCTGCTGAGTCTTCTTGCCAGTCCCCCATTTTCCCCCTCATGTTCCCCTAGGTTCTTCAGGCTGACCTTGAACTCCCTCTGCGGCCCAGGTAGTCTTTGCCCTTCTGATTTTCCTGCCTTAGTCTCCACAGTGACTGGGATGGAAGCCCTGTACCATCAGTCCCACTCGGTTTAGAGCACTTGTCCCTTGTTTCGATCGCCAGACTTGACACTAAACGACTTTCAACTATTTGCAAACAAGTTCAGAAGACAAAAGATTTGCTGGATGGAGAATCTTGAAGAGAATGTGAAATCCCAGAAATGCCTGGCACATGGTAGTGCTCATCAAACACGCTGAAGGGTCAAAAAGCTGTTGTTACACAAGAACTCCCGAATGTTTGGAGAAAGGGAAGCAGTGGTCTAACACTGCACTCGCGTGTATGAGTCGAACAGTCTGCGCAGTCGCCTTTCAGCAAATCCTGCAGGCTCGGTACCCCAGAGGCCAGGTGGGCCGCTTCAGAGAGCAGCTGAGCTGGGTTTTGAATGCGGGGAGTGGTGGGGATTCCAACAGCTAGGGCTGGGAAGAAGTGCTGTTTGATAGTCACGCACACATGGATCAACAGTCACCTACCCGTTCTTAGCCAGGAAACAAACAAAACCTTCCATGTATTCATGCCCTTGGCCTTATAGCAAAAGAGGCTTCCCCGTTGACACTCCCTCCTCCCTCACCCATGTCCAGGTCTCCTTCGCTTACGCCTGCTCTGGGACCTTCCTTCTGGGACTCACCTTTGCAGCTGAAACTCACCCAACCACTGGGATGCTGCACACCACTGCCTAGGTGCAGGACCCTGGGTTCATGCACTGTGCTCCTCCAGCCTTTAGCTGCTTCCTCCTTCCTGGAACTGTTGTCCATGCATCCCTGCTACCTCCTCTCAGGGTCCTCCTTTCCATGCTGGGTGCTCCCCACCCCAGTCTTTACAGGTTTCTCAGTGTCTTTCTCTCACTGTTTGTGCTTCACACCAGTGTTTAGTCCAAGCTCTCCTTTTTTGAACCATACTAACTTCCTCAGGAGGAGAGCATCTAATACCTAAACGCTTCTGAAACACTGATGGTTTCCAGATCACCTGTCTCCAGCTCACCTTATCCCAAGCTCTGTATCAATACGGCCTCCTTTCTACAAGTCACACTCAGCAGGTAGAAGACTGCTCTCCCAGCATAAGTCTGCTTCCCCATCTGATGGACACTTCTCAGGGAAAGGCTGCTGTCAGCTAGCCGGCTAAGCGGAAGTCAGACCCACTGGTTCCACTATCCCTCTTAGCAAGTCCTGTACCAACTGCCTAGTGTTTCTTGAATTCAACCCATCTCCATCTCCTGACACGTCCATGGTCCAAGGTCCCTGCCATGTGTCAGATGGGTGACTGATAAACCAATCTCCAGCCAACATCTTTCCACAGTGAATGTAAACATGGCCATGCCTAAAACCTGGTGTCCCCATTCCCTTAGATACAGTGGGAACTCCTGTACAATGGATGGCCTTTCTGGTTCTCAGGCCACCTCTAGCTCCTCCTTCCTCGTGCTGAGCACTGCCACTCTCTGGATCTTGGATTGGACCTAATCCGGGTCTTCCTACTCCCACCCTTCCAGTGCCCTTTCTTCGGGCATGACTTTAGAAGTGGCATCCTGCCATCCTCCCTTGACTATTCTTGGACTTTGGGGTCCTAACTCTGCCTTCAAGCAGTCCACTGTGCTGATTAGGTTTTGGTTTTGTTGCCAACTTGACACAAGCTAGAGTCGTCTGGGAAGAGGGAACCTCAATTGAGAGGATACCTCCATCAGACTGGCCTGTGGGTAAGTCTGTGGGGGCATTTTCTTGATTAATGATTGATGTGGGAGGCCCTCCTGTGGGCAGTGCTACCCCCAGGCATGTAGTCCTGGGTTTTTTAAGAAAGCAAACTGAACAAGTCAATAAGAACTGGCCAATAAGCAGTATTCCTCCTTGGTCTCTGCTTCAGTTCCTGCCTTGAGTTCCTGCCCTGACTTCCCTGAAGGATGGACTGTGACTTGAAAGTGTAAAACAAATAACCCTTTCCTGCCCAAGGTGCTTTTTGGTCAGTGTTTTATCACAGCAACAGTAATGCAGACCGGGAAGCTCGATTAAGCTGTGATGGAAGGACCCTTCCTACATTGGCTCCTACCAGTCCCAGTGCTTAGAGCCCAGGAGACAGTTGCTGGGGGGTGTCAGTGATCTCTTAATAGGATGGGGTCTCAGCCCTTGTCAACACCAATTCTCATTTTAATGAGAAATTGAAGTTCTGGGAGAGTAATCAATTCGTTCCAGGTCCCCCATGAGGCAGAGGAGAGGTCAAATCCAAAACAGTTCTCTCCAAACTTATGGCCCGCCCCCCTCCCCTCACTGCCAGCCAGCCCCAGTGCTTCTGTCTGCCCTTCCCCCGCCTCTCCTCCCCCCACCCGCTGGGTTTGTGCAGTGCAGCGCCTGCAGGCTCAAGCACTCCTCACCAGGAGGAGAGTGGAGAGTGCCATAGAGAAACAACCCTTATGACCTGCCCAAGCGATGCCTACTTTTGTACCTCCTGGGCAGGTGCAGGAGAGGGTACTTCTGGGAAGCCTCTTGCAGCGCTGCAAACAGGTGGTATGTGCCCCAGCGCCTGCAGTGACAATGCAAAAGGCAGCCTGCCCCCTCTGCCTTCTCTAGTCCACACTCCATCCTCCCATGCCAAATTTCTGAAACACACACACACACACACACACACACACACACACACACACACACACTCGGACTGGGGTGGTTGTTTGGCATCTGGACACATTACACATTGATTGGGAACAGCAAACCAGCTAGCTAAGCTGAACTTCCCTGGACTGACGGGAAGTTTTTCTGTGGCTGGAGTGGCAGTAACTGAACTGGTCAGGCATTCCACCCCTGGCTCAATCGGTCCCAAACTTCAGATTTGAACTTTAATGAACTTCAAGTACATAAATAACTATTCTTTCCCTTTAGGTGGAGGTTTCCTGCCCAGTCTCCCCTTCACCTAGTTGATCCCCAGAAATGCCCGATTTCCAAAGCAAGGAAGGGTTCTCTCTGCATGTTCTTTGTCACGGCTGTCAAGAGCTAAGTATGCTTTTCAGACTTCTCAACTTTATGGAAAGGACAATGACATGTGTCCTGGTACTTCAGCAGCAACCTAAGTCAGACTGCTGAAAGCCCACGAAGTCTCCAGGCATGAGTTTTCCAAATCTGTTAGGAAAGGAAGGATGCGGGTCAGAACTTCGCTTAAAAGAAGATTGGAGGAGGCACAACCTCGGAGGAACTGGGCCAGGCTGGAGTCGAGAGGTTCGAGGCTGAGGTTGGGAGGGTCGCTTCGCCATGGATGCGTTGGTGCCGCACAAGGTGGGTCTTGCGGCTGAAGCTCTTGGCGCACTGCGGGCAGGAGAAGGGGCGGGAGCCCGTATGGATTGCCTGGTGGCGGACCAGGTTGGTTTTGGAGCTGAAGCAGCGGGCGCAGACCGCACAAGCGTGGGGGCGGCTGCCCGTGTGCACTGCCTGATGGCGGCCTAAGTGAGATTTACGACTGAAGCGGCGGCCACACTGCGCACAGGCAAAAGGTCTGGCGCCGCTGTGAGCCCGAGAGTGGGCGACCAGATTGGGCCGCGAGCCGAAGCGGCGGCCACACTGCGCGCAGGCGAAGGGTCTTTCGCCCGTGTGCACGCGCCGGTGCCGGGCCAGGTGCTGCCCGTGAGCGAAGCCGCGCCCGCAGTCGGGGCAGAAGAAGGAGCGCTCACCGGAGCTGGTGCGCGGGGGGCGCCGCGGGCCCCGAACCCGGGCCACAGTCAGGAGCGTGGGGAGCGCAGGCTGAGGGCTCGGCGGCGGCGGGATCTACGGTGGCGCCCAGTGCACACTCATCGCACCCAAAAGGGCGACCCTCGGTGAGATGCAGACTCTGGTGCGTAGCGAGGTTCTTTTTCCAGCCAAAGCTCAGGCCACAGTGGGAACAAGCGAAAGGCTTGGGCCCAGGAGGGGACGGGGCAGGAGAATGGGGAGAAGCAGGAGCGTCGGGAGAGGGACCGGGTACGGCTAGCAGCATCGTGCACCCTCTGGTGCCTCACCAGGTGTTGCTTATGCGTGAAGCTGCGTGTGCACTGGGAACACTGATAAGGCCTCTCGCCCGTATGGATGCGCTGGTGGCGGATCAGGTGTGTCTTCTTGCGGAAACGCTTCTCGCATTCAGTGCAGGGAAAGGGCCGCTCTCCGGTGTGGGTCTTCTGGTGCGAGCCCAGGTGGATCTTCTGGCTGAAGCGTTTGCCGCACTCTGCGCACGGGTAGGGCCGCTCGCCGGTGTGCGTGCGCAGGTGACGGGTCAGGTGGGCCTTCTTGCTGAACCGCTTGTCGCACTCAGAGCACGGGAAGGGACGCTCTCCGCGGTGGCTGCGTTGGTGCAGCAGCATATGGGCGCGCTGCGTGAAACTGCGGCCACAATCCGGGCAGGCGCAGGGACCCTCGCCCCGGTGCAACCTCTGGTGCAGCCGCAGAGTTAGCTGATCTCGAAAACGCCGCTCACATTCCTCGCAGCCATAAGGCTTCTCAGGCATCGGGGCCCAAGCCGACAACGAGAGCCCACCTAGAGCCCCCGGAGTCCCTGGCTCCAGTTTGTATGCAACAGCCAGGTGGCCCAAGTCAGGAGCGGGAAAAGGACTGGGAAGGAAAGAGAGATGCTGGGGCCATTCCACCTCTTCCTCTGCCTCTTGATCCTCATCCTCTACCTTCACCTTCCGAATCATCCACTCCTCCCCTGAACAGTCAAAAAGGAAAAAAGAATGGTTTGAAAGCCCATCCATGGGCACACTCATTTCCCAATAGGCTCCCGACTTCAGTATCCCTGCAGTCTGGTCCTCTTTGTACCCCACACAAAGTTTCCTGGGAATCAGTAAACCCCAAAGTCCTCTTTCATCCACTTTGTGTTCCCTCTGCATCCAATCTGCTGGCAAGCAGGGCCCCTCCTGGGGCCTTTCTCTCAGGCTGGCCAGCTCCCCCACTCAGGAACTTTCCCTCGAATCCTTAGTAGACACCCTTCCCCTCCTACCTCCAGAAAAGGACTGCTGCCCGCTTCTGTCCTCAAGCTTTCTCTGAGTTTCCATCATCCTGAGACTGCCCCCAGCATCCTGGCTAGCTACCCCAAGCTAACCTTAACCTTAGGAGGGAGAACGGCCTTGGAACCTTGTGCCTCTCCCTGCGCTCCTCCCTGAGCACCAGGGCACCCCTGTGCTCCCTCCTGCCTCTCAAATGCTCCCTTCTGAGGTTCCATTCCCTTTGGTGCCCACTACTCAGCTCCCTTCCTCCTGCTCTGGTGGACTGGTTAGTCCCATTATGAAAGAGGCTGGAGCTTACAGAATCAAGGCACTAGTTAAGGATGAGGACACAGACTGGAGCTTGCTGGCTGGGGCTACTGGTGAGTGTTCCTCTGCTGGGAGAAGCCCCGAGAGGCCTCAAGGAGAGCTTCAGCCCAAGGGCAGATTCAAGTTCCTAGGGAACTCTCACAAAATGCATCCATGCATGCAGAGGAATCGTCCTCTTCCTTTAAAGCCCCCCGCCCCCACGTCCCCCAGTGAATCTTGCCCGAGAACTGTTGAGCCACATGATCTGAGTGCTGTCTGGCCCTGAAAGCCTGTCATAGGCTGAGCCTTGATCATATTACACACAGATTACATCCACTCCCAGTTTCTAACTCACTGGTTCCAAATCACTGTCTGCTTATCCTCTTATGTCACTCCTCTCCTCTCCATGCCACTCCTCTGCTCAAGAATCAGCAATAGCTTCTAGCTGCACCGAGCTCCCACACCTTCATCCAGCCTCCTTCATCCAGGCCTGCGGCTTTGTCTTTCATTCTGCTGCTCTTCAGTCTGTCACCTATCACCTTTCCTGCTTCCAGCCTGGAAGTCCTTTCTCAACCAAGAAGGTCTTCCCTTCCCCCGCCCGACTTGCAACCTCTGAAATCTATGCTTCTCTCACAATGCAGTACACAAAGCAACACTTTGACGTGTCCAGCAGATAGGGATCCTTTACCATAATTCCTGTAGCAATTACCGTTAATATTAGCTTCTGTGCTTAATTAAAAGCCTGTGGCTGGGTATTGTTGATTTAACTATTTGTTCTGCCTCATAGTAACAGCATCCCAGCTACGTTTTAGCTTCTGGATGGGAGACATCTTGAATTCTAATTTTGTGTCCAATAACAAAGTGTCTTTATGTGTTGACCAAAATCATCTCTGTGACCATTTATTTGAGGCCAACTATGGAGAGGCAGTGTGCATGCAGTGACATAAAGCTTCATGCCAGCCATGAAGTTACTGTCACCCTGATGATAGGTGAACAAATCACCCTGGAGGAAACACAGCACCACCACCCCAAGAGCATTCAGCAGGTTAGCGCAGAACAAGGGTGCAACCCAGGTCTGTGCAGCTAGACGCCCTGTCTTTTCCTGCCACACTCGACACCTTTGTGCAGCAGGCACTAAATAAACCCTTGTTGCGTGAGTGATGCCATTCAAGCAAGTGGTGATGAATGGAAGAAGTGATGGGTAGGGCCATGGAGTGATTGCCTGGGGAATGGGAGAGATGAGCTAATGACTACAGACGGGGAGGGGGTGGGGGTTAAGGTGGGAGGGCTAAAGACTGGGGACCCTTGGTACTATGAAGAACAGCAGAGGTTTGAGAAAAGGAGCACACATGGTAGAGGCAGCGAATCTTTGTGGCCATTATAATCCAAGAGGGCAACAGCATGTATGAACTGGGGGAGATGATGAGGGAAGCTGGGACTTCTAGAAGTGGGTTAAAGTGGGTTACTTATCTTTGGGACCTTCCTCTCCCATTCTACCATCCACAGATATGCAACTCCTTCGGAGTTCTAAAGTTCTACAGAGCAAAGGAGACAGGGCCTGGAACACAGGCCTCTCAGAGAGAAGCCCTGGAACTTGCTCGGCAGTCTTTGGTCCCTTTGCTTGATTCTAGACCATCAGAAGACTCACCTGGCACAGAGCCGGCAGGCTCAGCCTTCTGTGGGGCACAGGCCTGGCTGCCCATGCTCGGAGCTTCAGCTTGTTCTGTGTGGATGCCTTCTTTCTGGCCTGGGGTCTCGTGCCCTGGAAAAGAAGAGGATGTCCCCAAGGACTCCCGAAACATCACAGACAGAAGACAGTCCCCACTGGTACTGGGAAGCAAGCCTGAACCCCCCACCCACCCACCCAAAGAACTCTATCCTCTGCCATTCCTGCAAAAGCAAATTCCCAGTGAATAAAGCAGGTGCTAAGGGTGCACAAGAGCCACAACTGTGAGGAATTTCTGGACTATATGTTTTATGAGGAGGTGGAAGTAAGGAAAGACCTTTGATCCAAGCAGTTAGACCTCCCAGTTCCAAGGCAAAACATGTGTGGAAGATAGAGTGAGAAGCCAGGTTAGATCTTGCGGTAGGCATTCCTGCCTCTCCCATCTGCATCCATCAAGGTCCCTCTCACTTTGCTTTATCCCTCCTACAGCGCTTCCCATCTTCTAAACTTTTACTGTGTTTAAATTTCTTGTTGGCTGACTACTGTCCCCTCTAAGGTTAAGCTCCCCGAAGGGAGGGACCTGGTCTGTTTGTGCCCAAGGTGTTCCAAATGTCCAGAATAGCATGGGCAGAATGGGTGCTTAATGGATGGCTTGTGGAAGAAGGAATATTCTTTCCCGAGACCTCCGTTGTCCCCACTTACCTGAGCATGAGTGCAGTGTGCTCTCTTCCCTAGATGACATCTTCCCCTGGGCATTATTGAACCCATCCCTGGGCTCACTTTGGGGAGCCATCTCTGGCTGTCCCACTGAGAATCCTGTTACAGGCAGAGGGATGAGTTCAAATGAAGCTTCTAGTATTGAACTGGTATCAGAGATGGGGCATTTCCCCAGGTGGCTTGTGGAAGGAGGGTATCTCCTGTCTGCATTGACAAAGGACTGCCCAAGCTCCCCAGCAGCCTGGCCAGTTACTAACCTCAGCCCCTTTAATTGAAGTGGGGGGAAGAAAGAAAGAAAAAAATGAATATTTGAAATAGAAAAAAAGTTTAACTTCCAGTGCTGGGCTGGGGAGATGGCCCAGTGGGTAAAGGTAATTGCCACTAAGCCTAATGATCTGCATTGGTTTCCAAAACCCACATGCAGGAGATAACAGACTCAGAAAATTGGCCTTACTTCCATACATGTACATGTGCACGTAATAAAGATAAACACAATAAACAAGGAAGTGTAGTAAGTGATTTGTTGTTCCTAGCTTCCAGTTCTCTGTGAATCCCATGCATACAGACATTCTAGTATAACCATCCTGGTCTGGTCAGAGACATATGATAGTCACTTCTCCAGACTGCCTCTCCAGACTCCCAAGGGCTCAGGGTTGTCAACTCCTGAGGATGGCATTTACACCATGTATGCCTAGCAACTCCCACCCTCCTGGTTCCTTTGTCCCCACTCACCCAAGGAGTTCAGGGCCTCCAGGGTCTCTCTCATGGCCACCAGGAGTGGCTCTCCTAGGAGATCAGGCCACAGACCCTAAAAAGACAGCCCTGCTCAGAATCTTCCTGTCAGCCTCCACCTAGGTCTCAGCTGTCCCCAAGAGCACCAGAGTGATATCTTAGGCACAGGTGAGGGAACTCAGGGGAAACCGCACTTGGAGCAGAGACTTCTGAGATTGGACCCAGTGACGTGGAGCCTTCTGCAGACTCTGGCTGGCTATAGACATCAGCCCCTGTCCCACCTGTCAAGTCTCTAGAACCAGCCCCAAGGCCATCAGCAGGGACTCACTTTGCCTGGGGAAGTAGAGACCACTTAATTCTCAGGATCGAGGGTGGGAGACCAAGATGGAGAGTGGGAAACTTCTCGTGGAACCTCCAGCCATCATGGCAGGAGCTAGAGAAACAGAAGCCAGCCTTGGGGGAGTAGTGTCACTTTAGGGATACTGGGGGGGGGGGGGTGTTGAACAGGGTCCTTGCAGAGGTAGTAAATGACTAACTTCTCCCTAAACCCCTACCTCAAAGCCACACAGCCCCCATAGGACTAACTAGGCTAGGACACCCCCACACCAGGCCAGGACACTCCCCGATTTTTATACTTCCCTGCTCCTCCAACCAGTTCTCTGCCCCTCCTTTAGCAGACTCCCCTCCCCCCTCCCTGGCAGCCTTCCCTCTGCCCCTCCCCTCATCCTCAGTCTTCCGCCCTCTCTCCCCACCAAATCTGGCAGCCTTTTGGGGCTCCTCCTACTGCCCCGCCCCCTTGGCTCCTCCCCTGCGCGCACCCGCCGGGTCAACCCCTTGGGGCCCCCTTGGAATCGGCCCTCGGCAGCTACCGCCTTCCCTGACCCTCGGCTCCCAGCAGTCTTGGGCAGCGCTCCCCTCCCCCTTCCTCCTGTGCCCGCCCGCCTAGTTCTCCGCGCGCCACCCCCTTCCCTTCCCGGGCTGCATACTCTCTCCCTTCCTTCCCCCTCCTCTTTTCCTTCCTCCCCCAACTCCCGCCCTCCCCGTCTCAGCTGCTCTCCCCCCACCCGCTTGCCCCTCCCCTCTCCTCCCCCACTCGGGTTTCTTTTCCTTCTTTCCTCTCCTCGGTTCCCTCCCCCTCCCCCACACCATCCTCCCCTCTGCTTCCCTCCCTCCTGCAGCTCTCCTTCCCCTCAGCGGCCCCCGCCTCCCTTCCCCCTCTGCCTACCCTGCAAGCTCGGGCTCCGCTTCCCTCCCCTCCCCGTCCCCAGCCTTGTTCTTCCCCTCCCCCTCCCGGTCTGCTCCCTCGCTTCTAGGTCTCACGCCCCCCACTCCAGGGGAATCCAAGCTAACCTCTCGGTCCCTGAACCTACTCCCTGGCTCTGCCCCTCCCCATCCCCCTTTCTTCCCAACACACCTCCCTCTCACTGGCCCCGGTGCCCATTTCTGCTCCCCATTGACTTCTCACCCTCTCTGGAGTTTTCCTCCCGACCAGACTCCCCCCCAATCCCCGCCCCCGTTAGACCTCCGGGAGTCACTCCGGGTCCCGGGCCCCTGCCCTGCTCGAGGCTCACCTGTCAGCGTCCTTGGCTCCCGAGCGGTCCCATCCCCTGGTTTCCTGCCCCTGCGCGCTGGACCCCTCCTACACTCTATCCCAAGGAACCCTACTCCTTCTTCTCGGGATCCTCCTCGCGGGCCCCTCCCTCCCTCTTCCCACCTGCTCCCACCGGGCCTCTCCCCGAGTCCTTGCCCTCCCCTCCAGTTCTCTAGTCTCTCCCTCTGCTCCTGGACCCTCCCTCCTCCCTCCCCTCCCTCCCTCCCTCCTCTGACCCCCGCCCCTCCCCCACACGCTCGCCTGCGCGCCCCTTCCCTCGGGGCTGTCACCTGCCGCGAGCCGGCAGCGTCTGCAAAGCTCCTTTTGGGTGGCAGGCGGAGACGCCTGCCCAGGAACCTCCCCTGTCCTTACCTGGCGGCCTCCTGCGGCTATGTGCCGCGGCCCGCTTCGGGGACCCAGGCGCTCGGGCCTCCGGTCCCGGGCGGCGGTGTGCACAATGGCGCCCGCTGCCTGCAGCTTGGGTGCGGGCTGCCCGAAAGACTCCGGGACTGACAGCCCTGAAACTTCGCGGGGAGGGGAAGGAAAGACGCGGAGGGAGAGGGTGTGGGGCAGCGTTGCGGGTGATGGGGGAGGAACCGGGGAAGCTGGAGTACTGCCCCGGGGCACCAGGCAAAGGAGGTAGGGGCCAGGGGTCTTCGAGACCCGTCACGGAAGGGTGCACTAATAGGCTCGAGTGCAGGTGACGGTCTGAAGGCAAGATGCCCGGAGGGGTGAGATGGAAAGTGGGAGCTTAGGACTGGGGAAGGGAAGAGGGGAGAGAAGGGGAAGAGGAGGCTAGGGAGGAAGGGCACTCGGGCTAGGAGGGAGGGTGCTCTCAGCTTAGGAGGGAGGAGCTGGGGAAAGGTGGAGCGCAGAAACCGGGTGGTGGTGGTGAAGAGTTGGGGGAAGCAGGGAGAGGAGGGGGCGTGTTTGGGGAGGAGAGCAGTGTGTGCACTGCTGTCTTCAAAATTGCCAGCGCCAGCCGAGTATGTAGTATCGCCGCGGTCCCACGGGAGACTGTCCAGCCAGTGGAGAGTGGGAGAATCGGTTAGGGAAACTCTCCACCAGGATCCACCTAGACTCGAAGGACGGGATCCGACACCCGCTGCGAGGGTTGAGGACTAGAGACCAAGCTGAGAGAGCGAGGGATCACAATGTTGAAAATGGGGAGAAGTTGAGCCAAGTCCCCTACAGAAAGGACTGGGCAGGCTTAGAGGTTGCAGGGTGTGAGGCTGGGCGGGGCTCGGCGGAGGCTCGGGAGGGGGTTCGGTCCGTGGGCAAGAAAACCTCCTGGCCTTAGGTATGGACCTCTCCCAGACTTTTCCCGCCGTCTGTCTTTGCTCATGGGTGCACATACTCCTGGGCCTTACCCACCCACTCTGCTTCTGAGACCCCCTCCCCCTTCAGTCCTGAAGCTAAAATCTAGGAGGTTATTCCATGCCCGTGGGATCTTTCTGCAAACTCCCATGGGCTCCCACTTCCGCCTGCTTGCCCCTGTAGGGGAAAGGGCAGATCCAAGTTATATTTCTCTCCAGTACAAGTTTCCTTTGTCAGCCAAGTTGCAGAACAGAGTTGGGAGAGAGTCTGAGACCGGGGGGTGGGGGGGTGGTAATAAATGGCCCTTGTGACAGGACAAGGTCCCTGGCTATGGCACCCTGTCACAAGGATGATGACACCTGTCGAATCAGGACACAGTGACCCAAGACTGATCTTAACAGGATGCAGCAAGGGTGTCCTCAACTTTTACAGATGGTTGGAGTGAGGTCTGGAGCAATGGAGACAGGATGGATCAGGAGGTACTGTGACTCAGGATGCAAAAGGTTTTTCTAATACCTGTATGCCCACTGACTGCAGGTGGCTTAGGAGCAGAGTGAGTGTCCCTCTTGTGTGTTCAAGACTGGGCTTGGAGAACTGCAGTCCACGTGTATAGAAGTTAGAGGGACATTTTGCCATGACCGACCCTGACCCTTTCCCAGGACTCAACTCAACTCCCAGGCACCAACACTAGCTATTTGGAAGCAACCGGAGGGACTGTATTGGGCCCTCTTTTGATTCCAGGCCCAATAGAAGAAGGAATACCCAGGCCAGCTGTGAAGTACCAGGTGGGGTGACCATGCAGGATGCCCAGTGGGACCTCATTTCATTATGAAATGAAAGGGTTCAGAGTTTCAGGTCCCGCTGCATTCCAGTCCCAGTGGCCTTGGAGGTCTACTGGTAACCAGGATGTAACCAGGATTTGTCTGTGGAGCCTGCAGGCGCCTCCTCTGAACCGGACACTGGGATTATTCCATCCGGCTCAGCTCAGCTCCAGCCTGGGGCAGGGGGGAGCAGGCTCTCAGACCTATCCCACCCCTCTCCCCTTCCCATCTTCCTAGATCCTTTCAGTCTTCTGGATACCTTGGGACCCTCAGAAACCCCACAGGTGACCAAATGGCCCCAAACGCCTTGTACAAATACCTCAAAAAACAAACAAACAAACAAAAAAACCAAAAAAAAAAAAAAATCAAAACCAGAAACCTGACCCCACTGAGGAAAGGCTTTGCTTTGTCAGGTTGTTGCCACACACTTGGGTGCTCCAGCCATTCGGCTCTTCTTCCTGTGCAGCTGACCTGAGAGGGAACAGGGAAAGGGACAAGCATTGAGAAGGACACAACAATAAAGGCAGTGGTTTGTGTATGTTTGCTACATGTGTGCCTGTTGATGCTGAGATCAGGAAGAGGCTTTGGATCCCCTGGAACTGGAGCTGTGCGTGGTTGTGAGCCACTGTGTGGGGTGCTGGGAACCAAACCCGGGTCCTCTGCAAGAATAGCAAGTGTTCCTAACCACTGAGCCACCCCTCCAGCCCTGCCTGCAGTTTTTGAAGGCTGAGAAGGCTATCCCTCAGAAAAATCTTCACCCCTGTAAGTTCAAAGAGCTTATCAAGCCCCATCTCTGCATCCCTGGGAAGTCCCTGAAGTTTTCACTTGTAAGGACGCAGCACGCTCAGAAAGGGAACATGTCTTGACCACACTCATACATTAATTTGTGGTAGTGCTTGAAAGTGTAGAAAACCAGGGCTCAAAATGTCTGGCTGGAGTCCCCATCACACACACACACTGGGAGGGGTGTGATGGGGCCTGTTTCCAGGGAGAGTTGGCATTTGAAGGGATGCTGTAGGTAGGTCCAATCTGGTTCTGGGCAGCTGCTACCCAGGGGCAAGAAGCTGGGATAAAATCTCCCCTTGTGAAGAGCCCTGGACAGACCGACCTCCAGGTTGCATCAAAATTCAGTGTGGGGCAGGGGACCAGTGCTGTCCTCTCTGGTCTCTCGAAGTAAGCACTGCCCAAACCCAAACCTCAGGTCCTCCCAAAAGTGGCCTGGGGTGGGGCAGCATGCTGCTCCCTGCCCTTCTCTTTGGGATGCTATGGGCTCTGACTAATGGGTAAGCAGCTCATGGGGGCTCTCTCCCAATAAGATTCTCCTTCGTGCCTATGCCTAGACACCCTCTGGGATGCCAGACTCTTCTTTCAGCACTTCAATCCACCCTTAACTTCCTCCTTGCTTCAAGAACCTCTCCCAGCTGGTAGCTGTGCTCCCCTATCCCTGGACAGGCGGGTGGTGTGAGCAGACAGAGACCATCCATGTGGAAGAGGAAGTAACTCCTCGGCAGGAGGACCTGGTACCCTGCACCAGTCTGTACCATTATATCCGCCTAGGCTGGCAGCTGGACCTGCCCTGGAGTGGCCGTGTGGGGCTCACCAGGCCCCCAGCACTCGGGCTCTGTGCCATCTACAAGTGAGTGAGGGTCAGAACCTGGGCTGTCTGCCGGGCAGGAAAGGAAAAAGTGACGGCGGGATATCCTGAGAGTGGGGGGAGGACCTGGGAGGACCTGGTGCAGCAGCCATTTGGGAAACGGGTTTTAGCTGAGTTCCAGAAAGGGTGGGTGGAGAGAGATGGTGTGGGTGGAGGAGAGGGCACCATGGTGAGCACCGTATGGCAGGGAGAGGTATGACACTTACTCCTTCTGCCCCAGTCTGCTTCCCAGCATTCATTCTTGCTTTACACTTGAGGAAATTAAGGTCAGGAGGGGAGGATTACTTGATAGGAAGGACCCCTTGGAGTAGTTGACCAGACCTAAGGTCTTAGGTCTTGCCTTGTGGTGGGACTTGGGTAAATATTAACCTCTCTCCCTCGCTTCCCCCTGTATGGTGGGGGCAGACCCCCAGAAACCCGGCCTGCTACTTGGAACCGGACAGTGAGGGCTTGCTGTCCAGGATGGGGGGGTCCTCACTGTACTGACGGTAAGTACCCAAGCAGGATGGGTGAATGGTGCCTTCTGGGGTAGTGGCTGTGAAGGGGAGCCCATCTGTGACGCAGCAGAGCTGACAGACTGCCTGAGGACACAGCAGGTCTGGCTGGGCTCTCCAGGCCATCCATATAATGACAGGCTGGATGTGCCCCATTCTCCTCTACCACAGCCCTCGCTGAAGCCAACCCTGCAGGCCACTGCTTTGCCACATGGCAGTGCCAGCCTCCAGCAGGCTCAGCTAATTCTTCAGCAGGGAGCCTGGAAGAATGCTGCGCCCAGCCCTGGGGCCACAGCTGGTGGGACAGCAGCTCTGAGACGTGCCTCAGCTGTTTGGGTCAGCACCGCCCAGGTGGGTCTGCAGCTTCCAGTCTTGGAGACAGGCATATCCAGACCCTCACCCTCACCCTTACCCCTTAAGAGTTCCGGGCCTTTCCACCAGGCCCTGGCTACTCCTACGGTCCCTCCAGAGGGGACCATGCCCTGCCGTCATACCTCCTGGCTCTGCCAGGAACTGTCCCTTCACTTCTGTCCCTGCATTTAGAGGCTCACACCTGATATATCTTGTTCAGGCAATGCTTCCTCTGAAGCCCTCCTGCAGCCCCTGGCAGGGGCTGTAGGCCAGCTCTGGAGCCGGCGCCAGCGTCTCTCAGCTACCTGTTCCACCTGGTCCGGCTTCCACTACCAAACCTTTGACGGGCGTCACTACCACTTCCTGGGCCAGTGTACCTACTTGCTAGCTGGTGCTGTGGATTCCACCTGGGCTGTCCACCTCAGGCCTAGGGTCCACTGTCCCCAGCCTGGGCACTGTTGGCTGGTGAGGAAGGGAGAGAGATGACCCCAGGGAAGGTCTGGACGTGGTGGGGTGAAGAGTTACACTTCTGATCCACTGCTTGCTCTCAGGTTCGAGTGATGATGGGTCCTGAGGAGGTGTTGATCCAAGATGGAGAGGTCTCTGTGAAGGGCCAGCCAGTGCCTGTTGGGGAGCCTCGGCTGCTTCACGGTGAGGGCTCCTTCCCTCCTCTGGGGTGGTCTGCCCACTCCTAAGGGCAGGGTGGCGGGCTGGGGCAGGTGCCTGCTGCGTCCCCCTGAGTACTGTTGGGAAGCTTTTAAAAATTAAGGATCAGGAAGGCATAAGCCTGGCTCACCCGCTCCCTACTGCCTTCAACTATGACTTGGGCAAGTCACTGTTTAACTGTCTTGAGCCTCAGTTTCCCTACCTGCCTCATGAGAATATCATCATGGCTGAGATAGGAAGTTGGGCTTAAGTGTGCATGTATCTGCATGGTATGGGTGGGTGGGTGGAGTGTATGTGTAATGTCCATGTATTGTCTATATAGAAGTGTGGTATGTGTGTATGTATGCTGTGAGGTATGTAGTATATCTTGTGTGTTGTGGTGCATGTATGTGTACTGTATGTGTATATGTGCTGTGAGTGGAATGTGTATATAGTATATGTGTGGTGTAGATATAGTGTGTGTGTGTGGTAGTTTACTCTCTCAAGATAGCAACCACAGCAGGAAAACCACAGCAGAGCTTGTACATTTGTGTGGATTCTTTCCCTAGGTAGTTTAGGGTGTGCTTGCTGTGATGAGATGGGAGTGTGACCCTCAAGACTGAATGACCCCGTCCTCTTCCCAGGGATGAGTCTGCAGTGGCAGGGGGGACTGGCTGGTGCTCTCTGGGGGCCTGGGGGTTGTTGTGAGACTGGACAGGTCCAGTTCCATCTCCATTTCTGTGGACCATGAGTTTTGGGGACGGACACAGGGCCTCTGTGGGCTTTACAGTGGCCGACCAGAGGGTACGTGAGATGTGACTTGGTGTGGCTGGTGGACGGAGGGAGGGAGGGAAGGGAGAGGGAGGGAGGGAAGGGAGAGGGAGGGAGGGAGGGAGGGGAGGGAGGGAAAAGACATAGGACGCCAGGTCTAGCACTGGCCTCAAATGTCCTCAGATGACTTTGTGGAGCCAGAAGGGGGACTGGCCATGCTAGCGGCCACCTTTGGGGAATTCATGGAGGCTCCCTGACTATGAGGTGAGACTGCCTCCTGCCTGCCCACTATTTTCCTGGGGGTCCTCAGAAAGAGCACACAGGTTCCAGGTCCCACAGGGAGGCTGGCAACTGCTGTGTAATTAATGACTACCCCAGGGTCCTCCCTGATGTGGCTACTGACCAGCTCTGTCTGGGCTGACTGACCCTGGCTCCTCTTTCTCTGGGCTGGGCCTGTCACTTTGCCTCCATCTGCAGCCCAGAACGAGGTCTGGTGGGCATGATAGTTGAGTCACTTTCTTGTCTTCCTGGCTAATGCCCCTTGTCACTGTTTCCTGGCCTGGTTCTGTCCTCAGCCTGGGTGTCTGGATGCCGTGGAGGTGGCCCCGGGCTGTGATGGTGTCCTGCAAGGTCCACAAACAGGCTTAGAAGCTGGCAAGCTCCAAGCTCAAGCCCAGGATATATGCCACCAACTACTGGAGGATCCGTTCTGGCAATGTCATGCCCAGGTATGGGTGGGATGGAGGGGCAGGGTTCTGCAGGGGATAGTGGATGCTCGAGAGGTACCAGTTGGGTGATCTGATCCTGCCTTTAGGTTCACTGGGTCATCAGTCGAGACACCCCTTCCTTGTCTTTGTTTTTACCTCTGGGAACAAGATGGCTGTTCTTGTTGAGTCCTCTTCCAGCACAAGTTGGGATGTAAAGGAAGAGGAGGCCAATGTTGGCGAGGAGGGACATTTGCTGGCTGAAGATTTCCCTTCTCTGCAGGTTCCCCCCAGATGAGTACCACGAGACCTGCCTCTTTGCCTACTGTGCTGGAGCCAGAGCAGGCAGTGGCCCCAGAGGGGCCGCAGGAAGCTGTGTGTACCACCTTAGCCAACTATGCCCCGGGCCTGTGCTAGACAGAGCATCCACGTGCACTGGAGGAAGCCCGGCTTCTGTGGTATGCTGGGTCTGCCCACCTCAAACTGACCGAGATCCTTGAGTGGCCCATTTCCCGAGGGTGCCTTGGCTGTCTCCCATGGGCCTGCCGGACTTCCAAGGTCAGCCCTTTTTTGTTCCCACAGAACGCCTGTGTCCAGGGGGGCAGCTCTACTCTGACTGTGCCTCATCCTGCCCACCCAGCTGCTCAGCGGTAGCCCAGGGAGAGGAGGGGTCTTGTGGGAAAGAGTGTCTGAGTGGCTGTGAGTGCCCGGCTGGCCTCTTTTGGGACGGTGCCCACTGTGTGCCTGCTGCCCATTGCCCCTGCTACCACCGGCGCCAGCGCTACGCCCCTGGTGACACTGTGCACTCAGCAATGCAACCCTTGGTGGGTCTTTGGGCTCTCACAGGCCTTGAAGTTCTTCCTGATACTTTCCTTTATGCTGTCTCTGAGATTCGATCCTCCAAATAACTAGTGCATTCTGGGGCTTCCCACCCAGTGACCTGTGACATTTTCTGGCATGATTAATGACTATGGTGGTGGGTGTGCCAGGGGAGAGAAAGAACCAATGGGCTGGGAGTGGGTTGTGTCCAGCTCCTTGCTCTGGGAGGGGTCTGATGCCACCGCACACTGTCCCACCCCCTCTGCCCTTAGTGTATGCCAGGATGGCCGCTGGCACTGTGCCCAGGCCCTGTGCCCTGCTGAATGTGCAGTGGGCGGTGACGGGCATTACTCCACTTTTGATGGGCGGAGCTTCTCCTTCAGGGGCAATCCAGGCTGCCACTACAGCTTGGTGCAGGTGAGCAGAGAGCCTATTTCAGAAAGAGGGTTTTTGTCAGAGTGGGGCCCTCCCAGGGGAGCTCTGAGGGGACCTAACTGTAAACACGTCACGAAAGCAAGAGGTGGAACATACAGCCTCTTTCGAGGAGAGATGGACAGCTGTGGCGGCAGGAGAATGGCTGCCTGCATACCCCCACACATACACTTGAGGTGTGCATGCGTGCGTGCGTGCGCACACACACACACACACACACACACACACACACACACACACACACATGCATGCACACGCATGCACACTGTCCTTTCTAGTCCCCATCTCTCCTAACTGGCCACTCCTATCTAGGGCCACAGAACCAAACCCATCTTCATAGTTCCTTTTACAGATGTAAAACCCTGGGCTTGTCACAGGCAGGAGAGAGAAGGGACCCTCCCCAATAAAGCTGGGGCTTCTCCAGTTCATCACACACCGCGCTGTGTCTCAGTCCTTCCAAGGGCTGATCAGTGATCTCTCAATTTCAATGTTGGACTACTGCAACCCCCTGACTTGTCCCTCCTTGCCTGGGTGACAGTGGGCTGAGGACATGGGGGAGGGCAGGGTCAACAAGCAGATCCCGGGCGCTGTTTCCCAGTCACCTGGCCAAACATGTATGATGTATACACACAGAGATGGAGGCTGCATGCCAGCACATGGACCACACACATACACACAGTTATGTATGTGTATGTAGAGTCAACAAATGTCTACACATACATGTATACAAATAGGGAACACCTATGGGGAGGAAAGATGGGGATCTTCCCATTCCAAAGTGTACACACACACACACACACACACACACACACACACACACACACACACATACAGACATGCAGTCACACAAAATCTCCTCCCCTCATGCACTCACATCCATTCACCCATGTCAGTCCCTGGTGAGGTTAAGCCCCTTGCCTCACAGAATCTGTCTGGCAAGAAGTTGGTTAGCACCTGTGTGGGGTGGGAGCTGAAGTCATCACACTACTGAGGCTTCCTCATGGCTTCCCTACACACCCCTACCACCTTGTCTACTCCAGGACTCTGTGAAAGGCCAGCTGCGGGTTGCATTGGAGCATGGGGCCTGTGACACGGGCAGCTGCCTCCATGCCCCTCTCTGTCTTCCTGGGGAACACCCACCTTCAGCTCAGATACTCAGGTACTGTCAGCCCTGCCTCCTTGTCTAGTGTGGGGCCTTTGTTCTCAGGGGAGTCAACGGCTCTGCCGTCTACTTCTTCAGGGTGCCGACTGGGCCTGTTGTCCACTGCTCTTACTCTGCCACCTCAGGCCTACCCCGTGCCTGCCCTCCACACACCCTCTTTGGATTTCAATAACCATCCCTTCTAGATTCCTGCAGATGAACTTAATACCTATGTTGCCTCATGCTCCCCTCCCAGGGGCAGACACACTAGCCCAAGGATATTTCCCAAGACGTCTTCTGCTGGTTTTCAGTGGTAAATACAAGTCACACAGTTATACGAGTTGGAAAGGCCTTGCACTTTCACCTCTTGGCCACTGTCCCTCCAACTCTGCCATGCCTGGGCCTGCTGCTGGCTCTCCCACATGCTGACCACACAAACAAAGGGATATGCAAAAATACATGATGATGTGGGTTCTTGAGCTATGGAAGGGTGGTCTCTGGTAGGACAGGTGGCCTCCAGGGATCACTCTAGCTGCTCCCACATCCCACCCTGACACATATTCTCCCATCTTGCCAAGTCTTTCCTGTCTTGCAGCCCCATCCCCCCACAGGTTCCCTATCACATGGTCAGGCCTCTCTTCCAGGAGCTGTGCTGGTAGATGGGCAGGATGTAGGCTTGCCCTGGATTGGTGCTGAGGATGTCAATGTTTCCCGTGCCTCCTCCACTTTCTTGCTGTTGCGCTGGCCTGGGGCCTGGATTCTCTGGGGAGTGGCTGATCCTGCAGCCTACATCACCCTGGACCCCCGTCATGCCTATCAGGTATGCTAGGAGGCTAGTGAGTGTCGGGCTAGGCTAAGTAAGACTGGATTTCACTTTCCTGTCTTCCATGGCTCAGGTGCAGGGTCTGTGTGGCACCTTTACCTGGAAACAGCAGGATGACTTCCTGACACCAGCTGGGGACACAGAGACCAGCGTCACCGCCTTTGCTAGCAAGTTCCAAGTGTCAGGTGATGGAAGGTGCCCTTTGATGGATAACACCCCACTGTCCTCCTGCAGCACTTACTCCCAGCGCCTCCCTTTCGCAGAGGCAGCCTGTGCCATCCTGCATGGCCCCACCTTTCAGGTACTAGAGTGTCCCCATCCTCTGACCCATGAGATCGAGGATCCAAAATGCAAGGAAGAGTCAAGGGCACAGGGAGACATCGGTGGGCTCCCAAGGAAAGGGACTCCATGAAGAAAGAACTGCCCCTTTTCTTTTTGCCCAAAGGAGTGTCATGGGCTAGTAGACAGAGAACCATTCCGATTGCGCTGCTTGGAGGCTGTGTGTGGCTGTGCCCCTGGCAGGAACTGTCTGTGCTCCGTGCTCTCTGCCTATGCACGCCGCTGTGCCCAGGAGGGTGTCCTACTGCAATGGAGGAATGAGACGCTGTGCCGTGAGTCTCCCCACCAAGCCAACCCTATCCTGGGCTCCTCACCTCCCTTTCCTCGTGCCCTCCATTTGGGGGAGTTGGAGGGGCAGGAACTCGTTCCTTACCAGACTGTTCCTAGGCACTTTCTCCTATAGAGGCACAGGAACTTGAGGTCTAGACAGGGTGGCTAGGCTTCTGATTTGCATGCATCCCTGTGTCCAGCTGTCCTGTGTCCTGGTGGCCAGGAATACCAGGAGTGTGCCCCAGTGTGTGGTCATCACTGTGGGGAGCCCGAAGAGTGTAAAGAGCTTGGCGGCTGTGTGGCCGGTTGTAATTGTCCCCCCGGACTGCTGTGGGGCCTTGAGGGCCAATGCGTGCCTCCCAGCATGTGCCCCTGTCAGCTTGAAGGCCACCATTACACCTTTGGCACTGCCACCACCACGAAAGACTGCAGCCACTGGTAAGAACTGCCACCCTCGGGCAAAAGGAAGAAGGGCTTCCGAGAGAATGGCTGGTGGTGCTGCTGCACAGTCACCGTGGATTGCCAGGGAGGGATGGCAGGGTGCTGATACTTCCTCAGTGCCAGGGCGCTGTCAGCTTCAAGAGCTTCATGTCCAGTACCTAGTGTATTGATTTGACTTCCTAACTATAGTCTAAGAAAGTGTTGAGGGGGGTATGAAAAACGGTTCCTAATGGTCCATGAGGAAAGTGAGGCTCAGATACGTAGAGGTTGTTCCAGAAAAGGAAAGATGAGGTCTATACCGTAGAGGAAAGATGAGGTCTATACCATAGAGGAAAGATGAGGTCTATACCATAGAGGAAAGATGAGGTCTATACCATAGAGGAGAGATGAAGTCTATACCATAGAGGAAAGATGAGGTCTATACCATAGAGGAAAGATGAGGTCTATACCATAGAGGAAAGATGATGAGGTCTATACCATAGAGGAAAGATGAGGTCTATACCATAGAGGAGAGATGAAGTCTATACCATAGAGGAAAGATGAGGTCTATACCATAGAGGAAAGGTCAGGTCTATACCATAGAGGAAAGATGAGGTCTATACCATAGAGGAAAGATGAGGTCTATACCATAGAGGAAAGATGAGGTCTATATCATAGAGGAAAGGTCAGGTCTATACCATAGAGGAAAGATGAGGTCTATACCATAGAGGAAAGATGAGGTCTATACCATAGAGGAAAGATGAGGTCTATACCAT